TTGATATGTTGCTGGATCCAATTTGCCAGTATTTTGTTCAGGAATTTGGCGTCTATGTTCATCAGGGATATAGTCCTGTAGTTTTCTTTTTCTGTAATGTCTTTTTCTGGTTTTGGAATCAGATTTATGCTGGCCTCATAAAAAAATTTGGAAGTCTTCCTTCTTCTTGAATTTTTTGAAATAGTTTGAGGAGAATGGGTATTAGTTCTTTTTTGAATGTTCGGTAAAACTCCCCCGTGAAGCCATCTGAGCCTGGGCTTTTGTTTGCTGGGAGAGTCTTGATTACATCTTCAATTTCTTCTGTTGTTATTGTCTGTTCAAGTTTTCTCTCTCGTCCCGGTCCAGTTTTGGGAGACTATGTGTTTCTAGAAATTTGTCAATTTCACTTAGATTATTGAATTTGTTGCCATATAATTGTTCATAGTAGTTGTTAACGATCTTCTGTATTTCTGTGGTATCAGTTGTTACTTCTCCTCTTTCATTTCTGATTTTGTGTATTTGGGTTCTCTCTCTTTGTTTCTTGGTTAGTTGAGCTAAGGGTCCATCAATCTTGTTTATCTTTTTGAAAAACTAGCTCTTTGTTTCATTAATCCTTTGAATTGTTTTTTGTTTTTTTTTTCTTGGTCTCTATGTCATTTATTTCTGCTCTGATCTTTACTATTTCCTTCCTTCTACTTGTACTGGGGTTTTCTTTCTCTTTTTCTTTTTTCTTTTTTTGCTTTCTAGTTCTTTAAGTTGTGAGGTTAGGTAGTCTATTAGAGATTATTCTTGCTTCTTGAGGTAGGCCTGTAGTGCTACGAACTTCCCTCTCAGAACTGCTGTCCCTGAATCCCATAGGTTTTGTGTTGTTGTGTGTTCTTTTTCATTGGATTCCAGGAAGCTGTTAATTTCTTCCTTGATGTTCTCGGTGACCCATTTGTTGTTTAATAACATGCTATTTAGCTTCCATGTGTTCAAAGGTCTTTGCATGTTATTGTTGCAATTGATTTCTAGTTTCATGCCATTGTGATCTGAGAAGATGCTTGATATGATTTCAGTCTTCTTGAACTTTTGGAGACTTAGTTTGTGTCCTAACATGTGGTCTATCTTTGAGAATGTCCCATGTGCACTTGAGAAGAATGTGAATTCTGTAGTTTTGGGGTGTAATTTAATAGATATCTATTAAAACCATTTGGTCTAGTGCTTCATTTAAAGTCTCTGTTTCCTTGCTAATTTTTTGTCTAGAGGATCTATCCAGTAATGTCAGTGGGGTGTTGAAGTCGCCTGCTATGATTGTATTGCTATCGATTTCTCCTTTGAAGTCCTCCAGAAGATTTTTAATGTATTTTGGTGTTCCTATATTGGGTGCATATATGTTTATCAAGGTTATATCTTCCTGTTGGATAGATCCTTTCAATATTATGTAGTGGCCTTCTTTGTCTCTAGTTATGGTCTTCCTTTTGAAATCTATTTTATCAGATATGAGTAATGCTACCCCAGCTTTTTTTTCCTTCCCATTTGCTTGGAAGTTTTTTTTCCATTCCTTCACATTCAACCTATGTGAGTCTTTTGTTGTGAGGTGGGTCTCTTGTAAACAACATATAGATGAGTCATGCTTCCTTATCCAATCAGCTACTCTGTGTCTTTTTATCAGGGCATTCAATCCATTTACATTTAAGGTGATTATTGATATGTATGTATTTATTGCCATTTTTGTTTAGTGTGTTTTTATTTTTCTTCTTATTTCTCCTGCTAATTACAGCAGTCTTTTTAACATTTCTTGCAGTGCTGTTTTGATGCTATTGTATTCCCTTAGCCTTTTTTTGCTTGGGAAGTTCTTTATTTGACCTTCTATTTTGAATGACAGCCTTGTTGGGTAGAGAAGTCTTGGATTCAGATTCTTCTTTTTCATGACCTTGATTACCTCATGCCATTCCCTTCTGGCCTGTAGTGTTTCTGTTGAGAAGTCAGCTGAGAGCCTTATGGGTTCTCCCTTTTAGGTATCCTGTTGCTTATCTCTTGCTGCTTTTAGGATTCTCTCTTTGTCTTGAATTTTTGGTACTTTCATTACTATGTGTCTTTGTGTGGGCCTGTTTGGGTTCTTGTGACTTGGGGCTCTCTGTGCTTCTTGATCTTGAAAGCCTTTTTCTTTCACCAAAATAGGAAAGTTTTCTGTCATTATTTCTTCAAATATATTCTCTAACCCTTGCTCATATTCTTCTTCTTCGGGGACTCCTATGATGCGAATATTATTACGTTTCCAGTTGTCCCACAGTTCTTTTAAGCTGTCTTCCTGTTTTGTCCTTTTGGTTTTCTGATTGGTTGATTTTTTCTACCCTATCTTCCAATTCTCTGATTCGGTCCTCAGCTTCCTCTACTCTGCTATTTAGACCTTCCAATGTGGTCTTTATTTCTGATATGTCATTCTTGATTTCTTCTTGGTGGTTTTTAATTTCCAACTCGTTGATTTTCAACATTTCTATGTCTTTACTCATGGTGCTCATGTCCTTACACATGCTCTTGAGCTTCCTCAAGATCATGGCTCTGAATTCTAGTTCTGGTAACTTGCTTAACTGCACCTCATTTATCTCGTCTTCAGTAGAGTTCTCTTGTTCTTTCATTTGGCTTTTGTTTCTGTGTTTCACCATTTTGGCTATCACAGTGGGCTTTGGAGCCTGTCAATTTTCCACGTGGGTGTTGGTGTTCTGCTGTTTGTGGCTCCCTCTCCTGGGTTTGGATGAGTCAGGGAGGACCCATGTTAAACACCCCTGTGAATTCTTACTTTCCTGGTTAAAGTTGTTAGCCCAGGGAATGGTACAGTTATCCTCTAGCTTTTTGCCTGGAGGCTATTAGTAGTGGTTACCGGAAGCACCTTGGAATCTGAGTTAAATGAAAAACTCCCTCTGGTTCTCAGCTTAAGGGGATTTTCCGAGGGTGGGGCAGATGCTGGTTGTTAATGGGCCTCAATTTGCATTTCAGTGGCCACCAGGTGGGGTTGAATCTTTGAGGGATGGGCCACCACCTCTCTTCAGAGCCCTGGGAAGGAGATATGACCACCATCCTGCATGGCCGCAACTCAGCAAAAGCTCTGAGTGCCCTCCAAATCCCAAGTGTCCCCACACAGTTCCAGTCCAGTCTGCCCTCCCTCTGCCGGAGCTCACGGTAAGTGGCTGTGGCTATTTTAGCCTCTGTCCATGCTCTGTGCTGTGGAGCCACTTGGGAATTTACCCTGAGGGCACTGCTCAGAGCTAAGGCCACTGCTCACAGCTAAGGCCGCTGCCGACTGTGAGCTCCCAGCCCCCCTCTCGCAAGTCTACGGGGATTGCGTCAGTGTCCCTTGTTATGTGGTTCTCCAAGCTGCTTTTCTGTTGCTTTTTCCTGACGATTTGTCTTTATTTTCATTATAATTCCAGTTTGGTTCTGGGAGATGGTCTGTGTAGCTTCCATTCACTCTGCTGCCGTTTTTTGTATCCTAGCCTCAATTCTTTATCAATTAACACCTAAACCTTAATTAACACTTCAGCAAGGAGAAGTCCAAGAAGATAGATTAGCACATTTCCCTCAAGGGAAAAACCTTGTTCCATTCTCACTTTATTAAGCCTTCACATACATTATTTTCCATGTCCCAGAAAAAACAGAGAAGTGAGTAGACCAACATTTTATATGTACGGAAACTGAGGCTCAGAGAGGCCTTTTCATTGAAAGTAATTTACCCCAGGCCACTGAACTAGCTAAGTAACACATCAACTAGAACCTAGTTCTCCTGACTCTTCCTGCCACTTAACTACTTGAATTCGTGGTTTCACAATTTGAAAGACGTGGGAGAGAATAATAGACTAATAGAAAACTAATCATAGTGGGGTGCTAGCCATAGTTAGAAGAAAGTGTGAACATCCTTGCCTGTCAATCATGATTGCTTTGTTCTGATGAAAGAAAGCCCATTCTGAACTGACTGGGGGCTGAAGACTCCAGTTTACCCCAGGAATGCTGTCCAATCTACCTTACTGGAGAGCTGCCCCCCCCCCCCCCCGCCAATGATGGAAAGATGGACAACCTTGAATTCTTAAAGGTAGTGCACTGGAGCCCCCAGCTCACATTACTTCCCCATACCTGTAGTCTGTAACTGTTTTAATCATTGTTAGTCCCTTTGCCTACTTCCCCATGTAATGCCCAATAGAAGCAACCAGCTATATCTGAGAGGAGAACAGATTTTACAGGATGATTCACTGCTTTCCCACACTGCCAGCAATATTGGAATAAATGCTCATATACAATTCAACCTTGTCTCTGTTTAATTGGCTCAAGTAGTAATAGGCAAGATTTACATTGTCCTGTTTCAAATTCACTCCTCCAAAGTACTGTCACTAGTAACAACTTCACTACAAACCAATAAAGCCCAAGAGAAAATTCCATCAAATACGATTATCATAAAGAACCTGAAATTATCCAATCTTGTTAACAAAAATTCACTTATATTGGTCAACTACATCTGACTTGAAAACTGAAAATTCCTCTCATTTTTTCCCTCAGACATCAAGAAATCATGTGGATAACCCTACCTGCCACTGACAACTCTTTTTTTTTTTTTGCAACTTGCCATACAGCCCTTTGCTTTGCATCACATAGTTCTTGTGTATCTATCTGTGCATGTGATTAGCAAGATGGTGAATGTGAAAATTCTGTGAGAAAATGAATGTGTTATATAGATACAAGGCTTTAGGCAGGAACACAGAAACCAATTTTACCATAATTATTTATTGTTATAAATAAAACCAATTTTAACATAATAAAGATATGTAGTCTTTCCTAGCAGAGAATCTCAATTGCATTTATCAGTTAGCAAATAATTTCATATGTTCAATTTTCTCAACAGTTGTTTCTGTAATTTTCCCAGTTAAAATTTAGACATAACCCAAAATAAAATTCTCAATTTGAAGTAAGATTAGAATTTGGCTTATTCTTGGCTCCAATTCAAGGTGTTCATTTTACATAATTAATGCCATATGTTCCAGAAAACTTACCTTATCCTGCTTGTTGCCAAAATGACTGAAATACCATAGACTACAATTTGGGCTGGCTCCCTCCGGAGGATTCCATGTCCATGTTACCGTGCAGAGGTTTTCAACAGAAACACTCAAATTCGTCACCGGTGGCTGAGTTTCTGTTCAAATCAAGCATAAGAAATAAATTTATCAATATCAGTGACTGTTTGGGGTGGTTCATTTAATTCTTTCCTCCAAGTCCCAGACGTTAAGAAGAAAACTGAATAGAAATATCTATAATAAGCTGAAACACCAGAGAGGCCTGTGCAACTCAGCAGAAACTGTGCGATGTAGTTACTTGTGGGACCTGTGAGGTGCTGAAGCACCAGAGAGGCCTGTGCAACCCAGCAGCCCATAAGATAGGCATAGAGCCAGGTCCCCAAAGAAACTGTGTAATCCAGTTACCCATGGAACCTGCAGGGTGCGAGGTCACCAGAGAGGCCCGTGCGACCCAGACGCACACAAGATGGGCATAAAGGATGTGAAAATGGAGGCGGAGTGAATGGAAGCTACACAGATGATCTCCCAGGACCAAACTGGAATTACAACTAAAATAAAGACAAATCCTTGGAAAAAAGCAACAGAAAAGCAGCAGGAGGAACGATATAACCAGGGACACAGGTAGGATTTGTGGAGGTGAAAGAGGGTGACGGGCTGGGAGCTGTCGGACAGCAGCAGTCTTAGCTGTGAGCAGCGACCTTGGGGAATAAACACCAAGCCTGCTCCACAGCGCAGAGAGCCGGGACAGAGCGTTACAATAGCCACAGCCACTCACTTGGGGGCTATGGCAGAGGGAGGGCATACTGGGCTGGAACTGTGTGGGGACACCCGAGATTTGGAGGACACTAGAGTCTTTGCTAAGTTGTGGCCACAAAAGACAGTGGCCAGTGTGCTCCTTCCCAGAGCTGTGGGGAAGAAGACATTCAAGTTCAAGAAGAACAGAGAGGCCCAAGTAAGAAGAACCCAAACAGGCCCACACCAAGACACATAGTAATGAAAGTGCCAAAAATTCAAGACAAAAAGAGAATCCTGAAGGCAGCAAGACATAAACAACAGGTTACCTATGAAGAAAACCCTATAAGGCTCTCAGCTGACATCTCAACAGAAACAGTACAGGCCAGAAGGCAATGGCATGAAGTAATCAAGGTCATGAAAAACAAGGATCTGAATCCAAGACTACTCTACCCAGCAAGACTATCATTCAAAAAAGAAGGTCAAATAAAGGGCTTTCCAGACAAAAAGAGGCTAAGGGAATATATTAACACCAAACCAGCACTGCAAGATATGCTATAAGGACTGCTGTAATTATTAGAATAAATAGGAAAAAAAATATAACCACACTAAACAAAAAGGGCAATAAATAAGTACAAATCAATTATCACTTTAAATGTGAATGGTTTGAATGCTCCGATAAAAAGACACAGAGTAGGTGACTGATAAGAAAGCATGACACATGTATGTTGTTTACAAGAGAACCACCTCACAACAAAAGACTCACATAGGTTGAAAGTGACACAATGGAAAAAAATCTTTCAAGCAAATAGAAAGCAAAAAAAAAAGCTGGGGTAGCAATACTCATATCTGATTAAAGGATTTCGAAATGAAGGCCATAACTAGAGACAAAGAAGGCCACTACATCATTACATAATATTGAAAGGATCTATCCAACAGGAAGATATAACCGTGGTAAACATATATGCACCCAATATAGGAGCACCAACATATATTAAAATTTTTCTGGAGGAATTCAAAGGAGAAATCAACAGCAATACAATCATAGCAGGGGATTTCAACACCCCACTGACATCACTGGATAGATCTTCTAGACAAAAAATCAACAAGAAAACACAGACTCTAAATGAAGCGCTAGAACAAATGGATATAATAGACATCTACAGAGAATTACACCTGAAAACTTCAGAATTCACGTTCTTCTCAATTGCACATGGAACATTCTCAAAGATAGACCACATGTTAGGGTACAAACTCAGTCTCTGCAAGTTCAAGAAGACTGAATACATATCAAGCATCTTCTCAGAACATAATGGCATTCAAATAGAAATCAACTGCAACAAGAACATGCAAAGACATTTGAAAACATGGAGGCTAAATAGCATGTTATTGAACAATGAAAGGGTTACCATGAAGATCAAGGAAGATATTAAAATTTTCCTGAAAACCAATGAAAACGAACACACAACAACACAAAATCTATGGGATGCAGCGAAAGCAGTTCTGAGAGGAAAGATCATAGCACTACAGGCCTACCGCAAGAAGGAACAAAAATTTCTAATGGACTATCTAACTTCAGAACATAAAGATCTAGAAACAAACAAAAAGAAAACCCCAGAGCAAGTAGAAGGAAGGAAATAGTAAAGATTAGAGCAGAAATAATTGACATGGAGACCAAAAAAAAAAAAAAAAAATTCAAAGGATCAATGAAACAAAGAGTTGTTCTTTGAAAAGATAAACATGACTGATGGACCCTTAGCTAGACTCACCAAGAAACAAAGAGAGAGAACCCAAATACACAAAATCAGAAATGAAAGAGGAGAAATAATAACTGACAACACAGAAAAACAAAGGATTGTTAACATTTATTATGAACAATTATACGGCAACAAATTCGGCAATCTAAGTTTTTTGTTTGTTTGTTTGTTTTTTATCCTCACCCGAGGACATTTTTCCATTTTTTGTTCAGATAGAGTTGGAGGGAAAGAGGGAGAGAGAGAGAGAAACATCAACGTGAAAGGGACACATCGAGTGGCTGCCACCCACACAACCCAACCAGGGCCGGGGACAAACTGCAACCGAGGTACGCGCCCTTAGCGGGAACTGAACCCAGGTCTCTCTGGACCACAGGCCGATGCTCTAACCACTGAGCCAAACCGGCCAGGGCAATCTAAGTGAAATAGATAAATTCCTAGAAGCACATAGTCTCCCAAAACTGAACCAGGAAGAGAGAGAAAATTTGAATGGACCAATAACAACAAAAGAAATTGAAGATGTAATGAAGACTCTGCCAGCAAACAAAAGCCCAGGCCCAGGCGGTTTCATGGGGGAATTTTACCGAACATTCAAAGAAGAACTAATACCCAATCTCCTCAAACAATTTCAAAAAAACTCAAGAAGGAGAAAGACTTCCAAACTCGTTTTATGAGGCCAGCATCATTCTAATTCCAAATCCAGAAAAAAACACTACAAAGAAAGAAAACTACAAGCCAATATCCCTGATGAACATACATGCCAAAATCCTGAACAAAATACTAGCAAATCGAATCCAGCAATACATCAAAAAAAGTATTCAACATGACCAAGTGGACTTCATCCCAGGGATGCAAGGCTTGTACAATATTCACAAATAAATAAATGTGATATACCACATAAACAAAATGAAAGATAAAAATCATATGATCATATCAATCGTTGCTGAAAAAGCATTCGACAAAATCCACCACCCATTTCTGATATAAAAGCTTAGCAATGTGGGAATAGAGGGATCATATCTCAACATAATAAAGGCCATATATGAAAGACCTACAGCCAACATCATACTCAGTGGGCAAAAACTAATAGTATTTCCCTTAAGAACAGGAACAAGACAAGAATGCCCACTTTTGCCACTCTTATTTAACATAGTACTGGAAGTCTTAGCCACAGCAATCAGACAAGAAAAAAATTAAAAGGGATACAAATTGGAAAGGAGAAAGTGAAACTGTCATTATTCGCAGATGACATGATACTATACGTAGAAAACCCCAAAGACTCCATCAAAAATTTACTAGACTTAATAAATGAATTTGGCAAAGTAGCAAGATAAAAAGTTAATGTCATGAAATTGACAGCATTCTTGTACACCCATGATGAATGCACAGAAAGAGAAACTAAAAAAACAATCCCATTTATCATCACAGCAAAAAAATCAAGATACCTAGGAATAAACTTAACCAAAGAAATAAAGGACCTATTCACAGAAAACTACAGGTCATTGAAAAAAGAAATAGAGGAAGATATAAAAAAGTGGAAGCACATACCTTGTTCATGGATTGGAAGAATCAACATCATTAAAATGTCCATACTACCCAAAAAAATCTATAGATTCAATGCAATCCCCATCAAAATACCAATGACATACTTCACAGAACTAGAACAAATTCTTCAAAAGTTCATATGGAACCAAAAAAGACCTCGAATAGCCACAGCAATCTTGAAAAAAAAAGAATAAAGTTGGAGGATTCACATGACCAGATTTCAGGTTATACTATAAAGCCACTTTAATCAAAACAGCCTGGTACTGGCACAAGAACAGGCAGATAGATCAGTGGAACAGAATAGAGAACCCATAAATGGATCCAAGACAATATGCTCAATTAATATTTGACAAAGGTGGCAACAGCATATAGTGGAGTAAGGACAACCTCTTTAATAAATGGTATTGGGAAAACTGGACAGCTACATGCAAAAAAATGAAATTAGACCATCAACTTACACCATATACAAGAATAAGCTCAAAATGGATAAAAGACTTAAATGTGACTCATGAATCCATAAAAATCCTAGAACAATATGTAGGCAACAAAATTTCAGACATCATATGCAGCAGAATTTTCACTGATATATCACCAAAAGCAACAGAAACAAAGGATAAAATGAACACATGGGACTGCATCAAACTCAAAAGCTTCTGCACAGCAAAAGATACAATCATCAAAATGGAAAGGCTACCCACTGTATGGGAGAGCATCACTGCCAATGATATATCAGATAAGGGGTTAATTTCCAATATATATAGAGTGCTCATAAAGCTCAACAAAAGGAAGACAAAGACCCCAATTCAAAAATGGGCAGAGGAACTAAATAGACACCTCTCCAAACAGGACATACAAATGGTTGAGAGACATATGAAGTAATGCTCAACATCACTAATCATCAGAGAGATACAAATTAAAACAACAATGAGGTATCACCTCACACCTGTCAGAATGGCCGCCATCAACAAATCATCAAACAAGTGTTGGCGAGGGTATGGAGAAAAGGGGGCTCTAGTACACTCCTGGTGGGAATGCAGACTGGTGCAGTCACTATGGAAAATAATATGGTATTACCTCAAAAAATTAAA